TTCCTCTTTTCAACCAATAAAAGTGACGGAGGACGTGATAAAGAAGATAATGTAGACATGTCTCTCTGTGTCTCTGGTTCTCTGGTTCTCTATCTCTTTATCTCTCTGTCTGACTTTGACTCCCCCCCCCCTCTCTCTCTCTATCTCTCTATCTATCTATCTCTCCCTCTCCCTCTTTTTCTCTCTCTCTCCCTCTCTATCTTTCTTTCTCTCCCTCTTTCTCTCTCTCTCCTTCTCTCTTTTTCTCTCTCCCACTCCTCTCCCTCTCCCTCTCTCCCCTCCCTCTCTCCTTCTCCCTCTCTCCTTCTCCCTCTCTCCCTCTCGCTCTCTCCTTCTCCTTCTCTCCTTCTCCCTCTCTCCTTCTCCCTCTCTCCTTCTCCCTCTCTTCCTCTCCCTCTCTTCCTCTCCCTCTCTTCCTCTCCCTCTCTTCCTCTCCCTCTCTTCCTCTCCCTCTCTTCCTATCCCTCTCTTCCTATCCCTCTCTTCTTCTCCCTCTCTCCCTCTCCCTCTCTTCCTCTCCCTCTCTTCCTCTCCCTCTCTTCCTCTCCCTCTCTTCCTCTCCCTCTCTTCCTCTCCCTCTCTTCCTCTCCCTCTCTCCTTCTCCCTCTCTCCCTCTCCCTCTCTCCCTCTCCCTCTCTCCCTCTTTCTCTCTCCCCTCCCTCTCTCCCTCTCCCTCTCTCCCTCTTTCTCTCTCCCTCTTTCTCTCTCCCTCTTTCTCTCTCCCTCTCCCTCTCTCCTTTTCCCTCTCTCCCCTCCCTCTCTCCCTCTCCCTCTCTCCTTCTCCCTCTCTCCTTCTCCCTCTCTCCCCTCCCTCTCTCCCTCTCTTCCCTCCCTCCGTCTTTTTATAGCGTCCCCGCCTCACTTCCCCTGAGACGTTTCATCATTAATTAGTAACGAGTCTTCAGTGATGTCTCTAGTCTGTCTTCCTACCTGTTTCCTCTCCTTTGTTGTCCCTTTTGGTATTCCCTCTCGTTCTGTTTTCCTCTTTTTTTCTCTCTCTCTTTCTCTCTCTGTGTTTTGTATTTCTCTTGTTTTATTTTGTTTTTTTTTACGTGCTTTTGTTGTGTGTTTGTTTGTTGATATTTTTTTATGTTTTATGTAAGGGAGAGAGGGGAGAGGGGGAGGGAGGGAGGGAAGGGGAGAGAGATGGAGAGGGAGAGAGAGAGAGAGAGAGAGAGAGAGAGAGAGAGAGAGAGAGAGAGAGAGAGAGAGAGAGAGAGAGAGAGAGAGAGAGAGAGAGAGGGGGGGGGGGGGAGAGAGAAAGAAGGAGAGAGAGAGAGAGAGAAGCAAAGAGAGAGAGAGAGAGAGAGAGAGAGAGAGAGAGAGAGAGAGAGAGAGAGAGAGAGAACGAAAGAGAGAGAAGGAAAGAGAGAGAGAGAGAAGGAAAGAGAGAGAGAAAGAAAGAGAGAGAGAGAGACAACGAAAGAGAGAGAGAGAGAGAACGAAAGAGAGAGAGTACGAAAGAGAGAGAGAGAGAAGGAAAGAGGGGACGAGAGATGTCAATCTGATCATTAGCATCCCAGATAATTATGGTCCGCCATTATCATCAGCGTTATCGTCCTTCTCTCTTTATCTTTTCTTTATCCCTGTATTTCCTCCCCATTCTGTTTTTTTTTGCGTTTGTTTATTCTCTTTCCCTCTCATTCTGTCTCTGGTTTTCTTCTCACTTAATCTATCTATCTATCTTCAATCATTCTTCCTTCGTTCTTTCCTTCCTCTTTCCTTCTTTATTTCCTTCCTTCCTTCTTTCCTTCCCTCCTTCTGTCCTTTCTTCCTTCCTTCCTTCTTTCTTTCCCTCCTTCTATCCTTCCTGTCTTCCTTCCTTTTTTCTTTCCCTCCTTCTTTCCTTCCTTCTTTCCCTCCCTCCTTTCCTCCCTCCCTCCTTCCCTCCCTCCCTCCCTCCCTCCCTCCCTCCCTTCCTCCCTCCCTCCTTCCCCTTCCTTCCCTCCCTCCTTCCCCTTCCCTCCCTCCCTCCCTCCCTCCCTTCCTTCCTTCCTCCCTCCCTCCCTCCTTCCCTCCCTCCCTCCTTCCCTCCCTCCCTCCCTCCCTCCCTCCCTCCCTCCCTCCCTCCCTCCCTCCCTCCCTCCCTCCCTCCTTCCTTCCCTCCCTCCCTCCCCTTCCTTCCCTTCTTACTTCCCTTCCTCCCTCTATTTCTGCCTCTCCCTCTCTTTATCCGCGTCTCTCTCTCTCTCTCCCTACATCACTTGTGCTCATCCCTTCCAGTCGACTTGAACACATACGGTCGGCTACATATCGATATTAATCTGCATTAGTGCACTGACTGAAACACATGTTAATAACCATGATTATAGAATACTAACTATAAACTATTGTAACTATTTTCCGAATATTTGTCACATTTAAATTGGATTTGAGTTTAGTGCCGCAGACGAGGGTGGAATTCAAATATAAGTTTTCGATGAAATAAAAAAAAAAGAAAAAAGAAAAAAGGATTTATTTGTTGGACTGAAATTCTTGGAAAAGGGTTTTATGCGCTTAACAATAATGCAAGATGCCTTTGCAATTTCTGCACAATGATCTTTGACGCTAACGAAAGGGTTCTCTTTGCAGGTTTTCGGGAAATGTGAATAATATACTTTAATTGAGGTTTTTTGGTTTAGAAATTTATATCCTGATATTAAATATCGATTCACTATTCATCAAAATAATAATTTTCTTTCTCTCGGTCTTATTTTTAAATCTTATTCTGATTTTGTGTCTGTCTCTGTCTGTCTGTCTGTGTATCTATCTGTCTATCTGTATATACGCCTGTCTATTCATATATTTGCTTATATCTATTCATATTCATCCATCTATCTGTCTATCTATTTATCTATATATACAGTTTATCTATTTCTTTATCTATATGTTGATTAGCCTGTCTATCTATTTGTTTATTTGTTTACCTATTTTCCCTCTAATTTCTTCTTCCTTCCTTTCTTATTTCCTATTCTTTTACTATTCTTATTCTCCCTTTTACCTTCTTTCTGTCCCTCTCTCTTCCGTTTTCTATTCTCTTCACTCTTCTTCCTCTTTCTATGTCATCTTATTCTTAAGCTTTATTTTCGTCCTCTCTTCCTCTTTACTTTTTCCATTACTCTTTTCCTATTCCTCTTACCCTCCTCCTCTCTCCCTTTCCCCTTCCCTTCTCCCTTATCCATCCCCTCCTCCCCCTCCCTTCCCCCTGCCCTTTCTCCCTTATCCATCCCCTCCTCCCCCTCCCTTTCCCCTCCCCTTCCCTCTTATCCATCCCCTCCTCCCCTTCCCTTTCCCCTCCCCTTCCCTCTTATCCATCCCCTCCTCCCCCTCCCTTTCCCCTCCCCCTCCCTTTCCCCTCCCCCTTCCCTCTTATTCATCCCCTTCTCCCCCTCCTTTCCCCTTCTCCCCCACCTTTCCCCTTACCTATCCCCTCCTCCCCCTCCCTTTCCCCTTCCCCTCCTCCCCCTCCCTTTCCCCTTCCCCTCCTCCCTCTCCCTTTCCCATTCCCCTTCTCCCCTACCCAATCCCTCTTCCCCCTCCCTTCCCCCTTCCCCCTCTCCCTTATACCCCCCCCCCCCCCCCCGTACTGCCGTCACGATGAGTGACACTAAGCATAAGTTCACCTGTAGCTTTGAGGTTTGATTAAAGATACCTGGGCTGCAACCGGACAAGGTGATTGGCGTTAATCCGGCCTTGATTGCGTCGGGGCGTGGGGAGGGAGGGAGCACCTGTTCCCCTCCCTCCCTTCCTTCCTTCCCTCCCTTCCTTCCCTCTCTCCTTTCCTCCTTCCTTCTCAAATTTTTCTCACATCCTTCCCTTTCCTCCCTCCTCTTCCATCCTTCCCTCCTTCCTTCCTCACATACTTCCCTCACTCCCCTTCCCTCCCTCCCTCCCTCCCTCCTTCCCTCCTTCCTTCATACATCCCTCCCTACCTCCCTCCCCTTTCCTCCTTCTCTTCCTTCCTCCCTTTTACCCCCCCCCCCCCCACGTAGTGAAGGCAATTGGCTGGTGATACTCTGTCCATTGAGAGAGGTCATGGGAGTGCCTGGTGGAGGGTCGGTGCCACCGGAATTGCGACACATTTCCGAGATATACTTAGATTCTTGTGTTCTGTTTTTTCCTTCCCCTTTTTACCTTTCTCTTCTCCTTTTTTTCTTCTCTCCATCTCTCTACTTTAGTCTCTTTCCTTTCTTCTTCTTCGCATTTCCTTTTCCTACTAATTCCATCCCTTTTCCTTCCCTCTCTTATCCCTTTCTCCCCATCCCCTCCTCTCCTCTCCTCTTTCCCCTCTCCTTCTTCCTTTTCTATCTATCTTATCCTATCCCTTCTCCCTTTCTTCCATCCCCTCTCCCCTTCCCTACCTCTCTTCTCCCTCTCCTCTCTCTTCCCTTCCTCCCCTTCTTCCTCCCTCCCATCCCCCTTATCTTCTTTCTCTCCCAACCTCTCCTTCCATTCTTCCCCTGCCCTCACTTTCCCTCCCCTCCCTCTTATCGCTTCCCTTTCTCTCCCTTCCTTCCCCTACCTCCCCCTTCCTTCCCCTACCTCCCCCTTCCTCTCCCCCATCCTCCCTTCATCTCCCCTCTCCCTTTCCCTCCCCCATCCTCCCTTCCCCTCCCCTCCACTTTTTCCCCTCCCCTTCCCCTTCCCTCTTATCCCCCCTTCTCTCCCCTCTCCCCACCTCTCTCCCCTTCCCCCACGCCCAAAGGTTTCCCCAAATTACAGAATTATGGAAAACAATTCGGGGGAAAGACCTCGAGGGGAAGAGCCTGAGGGGAAAAAAAGGGAGGGGAGAGGGGAAAGGTGGAGGGGGAGGGGGAGGGGGAGGACTGTCCCTCTTCGCCTCTTCCCTTCGTCCTCTCTTTCCCCTCTTCCCTTCGTCCTCTCTTTCCCCTCTTCCGTCTCTTTCCCCTCACTCGTGGGCTTTCGCTCGGGCTTCACCGACTAATAGGAAAGCCGAAAATTAAACGAAGTAAAAAGAAAAAAGAAAAAAAGAAAGAAAGAGAAAAAAAAAAACATGTTCGTTACATGTTGGATTCAGTTGTGTGGGCGGGATTCTCCGGTGGGCGGGTGTGGGCGGGTGTGGGCGGGTGTGGGCGGGTGTGGGCGGGTGTGGGCGGGTATGGGCGGGTGTGGGCGGGTATGGGAGGATGTGGGCGTGTATGGGCGGGTATGGGCGGGTGTGGGCAGGTATGGGCGGGTGTGGACGGGTGTGGGCAGATGTGGGCGGGTGTGGACGGGTACAGGCGGGTGTGGGCAGGTATGGGCGGATATGGGCGGGTGTGGACAGGTATGGGCGGGTGTGGACGGGTGTGGGCAAATGTGGGCGGGTGTGGGCAGTTATAGGTGGGTATGGGCGGGTGTGGGCGGGTACGGGTGGGTGTGGGCGGTAGATGAGGATTGGCTTTGAGCGTTGTGGAAGGAGGGTTAATGGGGGAGGGGGGGGGGGGGGGGGCTGGGTGTTTGTGGGGGACGGGGGTGTTTGTGTTTCTGTGTGTGTGTATATATGTGTATGATGTGTATGTTTGTGTGTGTGTGTCCGTATGTCGTGTGTGTGTATGTGTGTGTGTGTATGTGTGTGTGTGTGTGTGTGTGTGTGTGTGTGTGTGTGTGTGTGTGTGTGTGTGTGTGTGTGTGTGTGTGTGTGTGTGTGTGTGTGTGTGTGAGTGAGTGAGTGAGTGAGTGAGTGAGTGAGTGAGTGAGTGAATGAGTGTGTGTTTGAGTTTCTCTGTGTGTGTACGTATGTGTATACATCTCATATCCACCCGTATCTCTGCGTGCATGTAAGTACCCATTACCCACATACAACCATAAATGCACCAACACTTGAACCATGACTCGGTTTCAAAAAAAAAGAAAAAGAAAAAAAAACTTACATTAATCAAGGCAACCCATTAAAAAAACGACAAAAGCGCGCAACAAAATCGCTAAGTATAATTAACGAAATGCATTCTTTCAGTATTTCGCTCCGTACATAAAAGTAAACCAGACAAATGGCTCGTATCGCCTGTACTCTCGCTGCAAATGCACAAATTTCCCAGCAGAGATTATATGGCAATAGTTATGTGATTAAACTGCCTCAGTTAGACAGTGAATAAAGAGGAAAATAGATGAATAAATGAAAACGGAGGGGGGGGAGAGGCGGGAGGGAAATGGGTATATTTGCGTGTGTGTGTGTGTGTGTGTGTGTGTGTGTGTGTGTGTGTGTGTGTGTGTGTATGTGTGTGTGTGTGTGTGTGTGTGTGTGTGTGTGTGTGTGTGTGTGTGTGTGTGTGTGTGTGTGCGCGTGTGTGTGTGTGTGTGTGTGTGTGTGTGTGTGTGTGTGTGTGTGTGTGTGTGTGTGTGTGTGTGTGTGTGTGTGTGTGTGTGTGTGTGTGTGTGTGTGTGTGTGTGTGTGTGTGTGTGTGTGTGTGTGTGTGTGTGTGTGTGTGTGTGTGTGTGTGTGTGTGTGTGTGTGTGTGTGTGTGTGTGTGTGCGTGCGTCCGCGCCCATGCGCTTGCGTATGTTTTAATGATGACGATAGTAATATCCTTACATTAACCAAACAAAAAATGGTGACTGGTATATCATAATATCAACATTGTTATTAATAATATTACCAAACTCAGAGGACTTCGGCTAAAAGACAAAACAACCGGAACACAAGCTTCTTGCAACATCAAATAGTAGTGCAAGGTATTTACTCCAAATGAAATATCGTCGATGGCTAGCGCAGTACACTCATCCATATATAACAGCTTAATTGAATTCTGATATCAGACCTGACCTTTCCCTTATTTCCTCAAAGCAAACCGATTCGCAAAAAAAAAGCAACCCAACTTGCCAATCAAATTAATCTTAGTTAATCATCCAGCGATTTCCGACAACAAATAGGGATGTTGCCAGATGGAAGTCACTTATGAAAATCGGATCGCCGTGGCTCACAGGGTCGAAAATCTTACTTGTGGTCAATGATGTCGTCGCCTTTGTCAACATCACTATCATCCTCACCATCTACACCATCATCCTCATTATCAACATCACTATCATCCTCCCCATCATCATCACCATTATCCTCACTATCATTATCACTCTCACCATTACTGTCACCATCATCGTCACTGCTATCACTTTCACCGGCAACATCAGTCATCTTGACTATCAACATCAGAATCCTCACAATCAACATCATTATCACCTTCACTCTCAACATCACTATCATCCTCACCATCTACACCATCATCCTCATTATCAACATCACTATCATCCTCACCATCTACACCATCATCCTCATTATCAACATCACTATCATCCTCACCATCTACACCATCATCCTCATTATCAACATCACTATCATCCTCACCATCTACACCATCATCCTCATTATCAACATCACTATCATCCTCACCATCTACACCATCATCCTCATTATCAACATCACTATCATCCTCACCATCTACACCATCATCCTCATTATCAACATCACTATCATCCTCACCATCTACACCATCATCCTCATTATCAACATCACTATCATCCTCACCATCTACACCATCATCCTCATTATCAACATCACTATCATCCTCACCATCTACACCATCATCCTCATTATCAACATCACTATCATCCTCACCATCTACACCATCATCCTCATTATCAACATCACTATCATCCTCACCATCTACACCATCATCCTCATTATCAACATCACTATCATCCTCACCATCTACACCATCATCCTCATTATCAACATCACTATCATCCTCACCATCTACACCATCATCCTCATTATCAACATCACTATCATCCTCACCATCTACACCATCATCCTCATTATCAACATCACTATCATCCTCCCCATCATCATCACCATTATCCTCACTATCATTATCACTCTCACCATTACTGTCACCATCATCGTCACCGGCAACATCAGTCATCTTGACTATCAACATCAGAATCCTCACAATCAACATCATTATCACCTTCACTCTCAACATCACTATCATCCTCACCATCTACACCATCATCCTCATTATCAACATCACTATCATCCTCACCATCTACACCATCATCCTCATTATCAACATCACTATCATCCTCACCATCAGCACTGTCAACATCACGCTCATCACTATCCTTATCATTATCAGCATTACTCCTCACTATCAGCATACCTAGCACCCTTACCATCAACATTCCAAACATCTTCACTATCAACATCCTTAACATCCTCACCATACTCACCATCAAATTTACTGCCCTCCTCATTATTAACACCATTGTCATTCTCACAATCAACATCATTATCACCTTCACTCTCAACATCACTATCATCCTCACCATCTACACCATCATCCTCATTATCAACATCACTATCATCCTCACCATCTACACCATCATCCTCATTATCAACATCACTATCATCCTCACCATCTACACCATCATCCTCATTATCAACATCACTATCATCCTCCCCATCATCATCACCATTATCCTCACTATCAACATCCTTAACATCCTCACCATACTCACCATCAAATTTACTGCCCTCCTCATTATTAACACCATTGTCATTCTCACAATCAACATCATTATCACCTTCACTCTCAACATCACTATCATCCTCACCATCTACACCATCATCCTCATTATCAACATCACTATCATCTTCACCATCAGCACCATCACCCTCACTATCAACATCACGCTCATCACTATCCTTATCATTATCAGCATTACTCCTCACTATCAGCATACCTAGAACCCTTACCATCAACATTCCAAACATCTTCACTATCAACATCCTTAACATCCTCACCATACTCACCATCAAATTTACTGCCCTCCTCATTATTAACACCATTGTCATTCTCACAATCAACATCACTGTCACCTTCATCGTCAAAATCCTAGTTATCCTCACTATCATTATCACTCACACCATTACTGTCACCATCATCGTCACTGCTATCACTTTCACCGGCAACATCAGTCATCTTGACTATCAACATCAGAATCCTCACAATCAACATCATTATCACCTTCACTCTCAACATCACTATCATCCTCCCCATCATCATCATCATTATCCTCACTATCAACGTCACAAAGATCCTCCACATCATCCATCATGTCAACATCACTATCATCCTCACCATCTACACCATCATCCTCATTATCAACATCACTATCATCACTCTCACCACCTGCACCTTCATCCTCACTATTCTAACCACCATCCTCACCGTCATTACTATCATCCTCCCCATCTACAGTATAATCCACACTATAAACATCACTATCATCTTCAGCATCTACACCATCATCTTCATTACCCACTCCATCTACACCATTCTCACTACCCTCTCCACCCCAGCGGATGGGGGATCATTATCACCATCACTATTATCCTCATCATCCTCACCATCTACAGCATCTTCCTCACTCTCAGCATCACTATCATCCTCCCATCTACACCATCCTCCTCACTCTCAACATCCCCCTCATCCTCCCATCTACACCATGCTCCTCACTATCATCCTCCCCATCTGCACCATCCTCCTCATTCTCAACATTCCCATCTACACCATCCTCCTCACTATCAACATCACTATCATCCCCATCATCCTCCCATCTACACCATCCTTCTCACTCTTAACACCCCCATCCTCCTCCCCTTCTTCACCATCCTCTTCACTATCACCCCTCCCCCTCTTCCCCATCCTCCTCCCCTTCTTCACCATCCTCTTCACTATCACCCCTCCCCCTCTTCCCCATCCTCCTCCCCTTCTTCACCATCCTCTTCACTATCACCCCTCCCCCTCTTCCCCATCCTCCTCACCTGCAGCAGAACCGATGACGACATAGAGCGACCCGCGTCCGTTTTCCTCCTCGTCCGATCGCTTGACTGGTTCCTCCTTTAACGGATGTGCGGCGAGATGCAAGGACGCCCGGCCGTCCGGATGAGGGAGGTGAGGGTGAGGGACGGCGTATTGACCCTTGTCCGATCCGCGAGGGTCTTCTCCGACCACGGGCAGCCTTATCCGGAGGCCGTAGTCTTCCGGCGGGGAATCGGACGAAGGGTCGGGGGCGGCCGTGTGGGAGCGCGTTTTGGGAGGCAGCGCCGGCGGCTGGTCGGCGTCGGGCGGGGGGCGGACGAGGGCCCTGGGCTGGCACGACCTCCGGACTCGCTTCTCGAGCGTGCCTCCGCCCTCGGAAGAGTCCTGGAGGTCGTCCTCGGGGCAGAGCGTCGCCGTGGAGGAGGAAGGGCTGGTGCCGTTGCTCTTCTGCGCGTGGAGGAACAGCCTGAGGTCCGCCAAGGGCACCTGCGGCTTCCTCCCCGCGACGGCGCCCCGGGGGAGGACGGGCGGGGGCGAGTCTCCCTCCTCGCTCGAGTCGTCGCGTCTGAAGGCTGTCACGGCCTCGTCCTCGTCCTCGTCCGCCAGCTGGCCCCCCACCGTGGCGTAGATGGGCTCCTCGAACCAGCTGTCAAGGGTCCGGGCGGGCGGGGCGGGCCAGGGCGAGGGGTCGTCGCCGCCGGCCTCGCGAAGGGCGCACTCGAACACGTTCTCGTAGGTGGGCTCGGGCGCCCCCGGGTCGGACGTGTTGGCGTAGATGGTGGCGCTGCTGCAGCGGCTGCACGAGCGACTCGTCCTCCAGTACTCGCGGTTCCAGAGGCGCTCGTCCTCCAGCTCGGGCTCCTCAGCGGTCAGGTCCGTGGGGCTCAGCCTCGCAGTCGCATCCGTGAACGCCCAAGTCGTGTCGCCTCCTCCGGCAGCCGTGGGACGCCGCTGGGAGGCGGGTTCCCTGATCATGGTTTCCGTCAGGAACACGCGGCCTGTGGGGCTGGCCTCGCCCTCGGGGCCCTGTTGGCCTGGCCGCGCCGCCGCCCCGTGCCCGTAGAGTCGGAGGTCGCTTGCCACCTGGTACGCGGAGGGCAGCGTCGGGGAGCAGTGCTGGGACGACGTCGCCGGCGGGACGGCCTCGCGGGGGCACTGGGGGCAGGGCGCTTCGCTCACGCCAGGGGGAGGCTTCCACCTGCCACTCGAGCGACGCGGGTCGGCGGCGTCGTCGAAGTACACCGCCGTGGGCCCGCTCGAGGAGGACATGCATGCCGGGTGGCGAAGCATGCCGCACTCCGTCCTCCCGTCGGACTCGTCCAGGGACGTCAGGCTCCTGTCGCTCAGTGAGTCGCGATGACCTCGGGGCAGAGGACAGGCCGCCTTGCCTCCGGGGCTGACCATGAGAACCCGTCGCGCCTTCCCGCGCCCCTCGCCAAGGCCTTCGTCAGGAGAGGCTGCGGGGATGGGGAAGGAGGAGTCTCCTTTCCCGAAGCCCTCCCACGCGTCCTCCTTTCCCCCCATTCCGAGATTGGCCTTGGGACTCGCGCTGCCTCCCGCCTGCTCCCGACGGCGTTTAGCATCATAACGCAACGACTCCGCCAGCTTGTGGTCGTCGCTCGAAGCCTGAGTCAAGGTCGTCCCTTCCACCAGACGCTCCCGGTCAATGTCACCTTGAGTTGAATTACGACCCCTTGCACCGCCAGACACACGGGTCGTCGGCGAGGCAGCGGCTGGTCGTTCCAATGAATCAGAGTATACTTGCGTGCTACAGCAGCCGAGAGAGGACCCGGAAGTCTTGCCAACGTCTTTCCTCTGATCTTTCATCTTGCAACAAGTTTGAGATTAATTTCCTTCCGCCTTGGAAGCAGGGTAAATCAGGCCAGCGCTCGCATCACAGACACAGTAAAAAATAAATAAATAAATAGAATAAAAAAATATATATCTCTATCTCTCCCTGTGATGAATCTGGTGTTCCGCATCGACTGAAATGTCCATCAGAAGCTGAAATGATTGCAATATAAATCACATTAAATGATCATTGCCGACATGACGTCACACCACAGATATTCAGAGAGATGGATGGACTCTGTAGAACGAAACTCCGACATTATTATTTAACGCTAGCACATCCTCTTTCGGTGCCATGAAAGAGTGCCATACAGTAGTTATGTAGTGTCATTATGTGACAGGGAGTTGTTATGTACAACCATTATAGGAATAGCTAGAGAGATCCGCCTTATATATCCCCATTTAGGAAGTTATTTAGAGTCTATAACATGCCAGCTACCATCTTAATGACTTATGATAAAGTGTTCCTACGTTTATATGTCCTGGTGGGTCAGGGGGGGATTGAGGCAAGATAGGGGTAGACAGCGAAGGACTTTTGGTCGGTATTGCAATGCCCTTTGCTGTGTCTCTTTCGTTCTTTCTCTTTCTCACTCTCCATGTCAGTTTTACGCCTTATATATCTCTACACATACATGCCGTATATATAAATGTACACACACACACACACACACACACACACACACTCGTGTGTGTGTGTGTGTGTGTGAAAGAATGAATGAATGAATGAATGAATGAATGAATGAATGAATGAATGAATACATACACATATACATACACTATATATAATATATACATATATATATATATATATATATATATATATATATATATATATATATATATATATATATACATATATATATATACATATATGCATATATATATATATATATATATATATATATATATATATATATATATATATATATATATATATACATATATATATATATATATATATATATATATATATATATATATATATATACATATATATATATACATATATATATATATATATATATATATATATATATATATATATATATATATATATATATATATATATATATGTGTGTGTGTGTGTGTGTGTGTGAGTGTGTGTGTGTATACTAATACATACATACATACACACACACACACACACACACACACACACACACATATATATATATATATATATTTATTTACATATATACACCATCTTCAAGGTCCTATTTGTCTACCTATCCTCCTCTCCCGTTTTCCTTGTTCTATGTCCTTACCAATCTTCTTTCCTGTCATGTTCCCCCTCCCCCTCCTCCCCTCCTCCCCCCCTACCTTCCCTCCACCGCTAATGAGGCCCTCGTACCCCCCTCCTGCCCCCCCCCCCCCCCGCTTCCCCTTCTCCGGAAGGTCTTCAGTCAGCGGGTCTCTATAATTGGCCCTGGCACCCCCCCCCGGCACTCCCTTGGCACCCCCTGGCACCCTCCTGGCACCTTGAGCCCCTTCGCTCCCTGTCAGCTGAATCCCTCCCTCCTGCCCCCTCCCCCCTCCCCT